TATAATAGCTAACAAGTAACAAATAAACCACAATCACTTTTTCAAGCAACAAATGTAACAATAATTTACCACCAGACCGACAAATATGGGGTGGAAATGTATGACGAGAAATAGGAAGACCGGTACTCAATCTACAATTCTGACAAAAACAATATCGGCAACCTCAAAATACACAATAATAGCGCGGAGTAGAATGTAATCCGAATTAAAATCGCGCGAACTAGAATTAAAGCCATTAGAAAATACCGAAAAAAAAAATCGATAACAAAAACCAAACTTCGTACCTCTGAGGACTACCAATTCCGTCGTTTTCTTGGCTTCGGCGGTGGCGGTACCTTATGCGGAGTGGCGAACGATGGTTTGTGGGTGGAGAACCAGTATTTTGGGTGTGCTTGAATTTGGAGAAGCAAGTAATAAAAATTATCGGTCAATCATCGGTTACATCGTCATTTGCAACATTAATAACGCTGACCGAAAATTTTGGAAATATACTACAGTCCAAAATGAAAAATAGCATCTAGTTTACACGCCAATTTCTTTAGGTTATTTTTTTTTTTAAAAAAAAACAGAGACTCTTTTCACGTGCTAATAAAAAGTAACAGTACTCATTAATTTGTACTAAAGAGGGGTAGTTCTACCGACTGTGCATCATAATGACAGTATTCCTCGTTAGGTGCGGTCATAAATCGACTTTCCTGAAAACAATAAATAGTATAATTATATGTAATACAATATTTTTTAAATAATCTTTATTTAAATGGCAGTATTTCCGTTTGTTTTTTATTATTCATCACCAAACACCATCTTTATTTCGTCGGATAATCTCAAGCATTCCTAGCCCTAACCGAAAGTTGCAACTGAGGTTCGAGGTAGGCCTTTTCATTTTCCTGATTGTATTTAAAATAGAAATTCTTTCGTATGGATGAACCAGTTCATTCAAAATATTCACTCGCATCATCTTTTATACAGGTACTTTACAATGGCAAACACGTTTGACCCATTTGTTACAATTATTACGAATGCAACCAGCCAAACCTTCGTATGAATCTGCCCGATTTAACGAACATGTTCTTTTAATTTTATATTTAACTATTAATTTCAGTGAATATCCATCCAACAAATTGCTTGTGGTTTTCATACAGGCATTGTCGGAGTCAATCTACCATCAATATACAAATCATGTGATAGTAAATTGTACAATACTTACTAGGGAGCACCGTACTTATGAAGTTTGGTTGCTAAAAGTAGGAAATAAATTGGAATTCCATGATGGTTGGGAATATTTTGTACGATCGGAGGATATTCGAGGGGGATACATTTTGTATTTCGAGTGCAAAAGTCTATATGAATTTAAAGTTTAAAGTGAAAGTGTTCACTTGTAATTCCGTTGAACGCCATCTGCAATATTGCTTCTTCGTGGATATGAAGAAGACGCACGTACAACGGGCACGTTTGGTATGTTTCACGATTCACTTCAAATAAGGGAATATGGGAGGGAAAAAAAAAAATATTTCATTTTCTTACTACTGTAGGTAATTCCTATGAGCTTTTGGAGGGAGCACATCGAAGACCAAATTAATGATATTAGAAAAGCAATCTTGATGTGTGAAGGACGTCGAAACAATGTCCCAATAATGCAAGCGCATGGGAAGACGTTGATGGAACATGGTGAGTGCCGTGAATTTATGGACCAAAGTGAAATCGTCGAGGGGTCTACATGCGTTTTCACCTTAATTGGATATTAGTGTGTTCTTTTCAAGGTAAGACTATTGGATGCTTGAATCGTGCGAGTTTATTTACCTTAAAAAAGAAATGTATTTCTTATTTTGTAATTTATTGGCAATGAAATTTGGACGAAGTAGATTATGGAGGTCATGTGTCATGTATTTCTTAATTTGTAATTGAACGTATTTTGTTTAGTGGTGAATATTTTTTTCTTTTCATTAAAAACATGTCTTATATGGTCTCGTTTTTCCAAATTTACCCTTTTTTATTTTTTCACACATATATATATATATATATATATATATATATATATATATATATATCATACATTAAATATAATTAAATTATATATAAATTGTTATGAAAAAGTGTAACAAGACTAAAAAAAATTAACTGAATGAGTTTACGTCTAAAAAATATTATATATACTTGTGATATATGTGTATGTAGATTACAAATTTTGGGGGACAATGGCCCCCACCCCCTTTATATAATTGTGAGAGGTGGTCCAATTAAATTGAGGTGATTGCATGCCTTTTCCTTTTGGTCAAATAGAAAATTCATTGAAAATAGAAAATGTGTGAGCACAAGTCACGTGCAAGACGACAAAAGCCATCAACTCAACCTCTACTTTTACAGAAAAGGAATTGAATTCACATGCCAAAACGTCTTCACATGCCTATTCACGTCTCCATAATGTCGCCCATGTCGATTTTTTTTCCTGTAAAAAAAAACATGCATAATTACATATAGAAAAATTGTAGGACAAAATAATTGGTAGTCTTCGGTTACGTTCGATAACATTACGGACATGGCATGTCGTCTGTTAGACCCCAACCACTTCGGAAGATGATATCTTTCACCACGATGTGGTGTCATGAAACCCAGAATGTGTGTCATGGTCGATTTACGTAATGTTTTCATAAATATAAAATATATTATTATTTTAGTAAGGTTTAAAACAAAAAATATACTTGACTTTTGATTTTTTTTTTTCCAACGAACAAATCTCGAACACGGTTATTTGCGTCAAAAGTCTATCAACGAACACAAAAATTGTTCCAACGTAAACACATATTTTCAAAACAACTCAAATTAAATTAACATTAATTTGGAATAAATAGGGTGGTTGTACTTGTATGAGTAAATACACACATTAATTTGTATAATTGGGGTGGTGGTACCGGGTAAGGGGAACTATGTGGGGCCCCCATTTTTGTATAAAGAAAATAGGTCGTACTGAAGCAATGAACTTCACCCACGTTTTGTTCTAATTTAACTCAGTCCATATCTATCCATTTCTCTCAAAAGGCGTACGTGTCTATATCTATTTATGCATGAAAATAATGAAAATAAAAAAAGAGTTGTGCTTTCACATGCAAACAATTTTTTTTAACCCAACGCAATTATCGAGAACATTTTTTCACATGTCACTCCAACAAATTTTTTTATCTGCAACTGTCAATATTGGCATAACTAGTTGTGATTTTTTGGAAACAGACAAAAGGAAAAAAAAAATCTGGCTAACTTTATTAATATAAATGTTACTTTATATATGTGTGTACTATATTCGTTTGGTAATAGCAACTTCAATTTTTTTTTTGTTACTTCAAATTTTTTTTTTAGTTGGAATTATTCATAACTATTATTTTATAAATAACTATTATATTTGTTTAATATAACTATTTTTGTAATTTTATATAATAATATACTTTTATACTTACATCTTCAATTTTCTTTTTATTTTTTGTTAGAGTTAATGAAACAAACGTGTAATTAGTAAATAATATGTATTAAATTATTAATTATAACGTCAAATTAACATAAACAAATCACTCGTCCCTAACCCTATCCCCCAATTCGCGATTTCCTCTCGTCCCTCTGCAACTGCCCGCTTCGCCTCTCCCGATGTCGGCAAAGTCTCGGCCAGGGGTCATCCTTGACCGCCTGGCTTCCCCTGGTAAGTGCGGCTGCTATTTCGGCTTGGTGTTCGGCGGTGGGGTCCAGTCGATTGGCAGTAGAGATGGTCTCAGTTGATGGCGGCAGCCTCCCGGAGCGGCTTCTATCTGGTGGTCCGGGTCTCAATTGCCGATGGGTGCTGATCTGTGGAGGTAAGCTCGATCAATTTTGCTTTTTCTACGACCAATTGGAGTGGTTCTTCTCTGGCAGATTTGAATGCTCCGGTGGGACTGGGCTCTGTCATCGGAGCTCTGCGGTTGTTTGGTGCGGCGCTTGTACTGAGGGGAGGGTTAGGGCTCTGGTTGCTGCGGCTTGGCTGTCGCGGTGGTCGGGGTTAAGAGTGCGATCTCCCTTTGCGCGTGCCCGTCCGCCTAGTGGTGTTAGGCGGAGGGGAATAGGTTCTTTCGAGCTAGTTGAGTTTGTGTGGGGCCGGCGTGAGGGTGGGTTGCAGCTCTTTCGGTTGACGATGGGTCAGTTCTGGGATCGGTTCGGGGCTCGGTGTCTTCTACTGTATAGGCAGTAGGCAGTTTCGGTAGCGGACTCTCGAGTTGGGATCTTTCTTGTGCCAAACGTCCACTACTGGTTGGGTTTGTCTGCTCGCTGGAGGAGGGCTCTGTTGTTATTTTGGTTTTTTTTTTTCATGTTGCTATGTTTGTTTTGTTTGTGTTTGTTTTGTGTTTGTGATTGTGTTTCAGGTTTGGGTCGTTGGCCCATGTGCATCCAGGTGTCAAATTTATTACCCTTTGGGGGTCTGACACTCTGGTATTACCCTGTGGGGGTCTTGTTTAGTTGTTTTAGTTGTTTTTTGTTGTTGCTTTATTACCCTGTGGGGGTCTTGTTTTGTTGTTTAGTTTAGTCGAGAGTTTTTCTTCCTAGTGGTTGCTAGCCGGGTTTCTAGGCGGTCTCCGGACCTGTCCTCCCACTTTTCAGCCGTTGGCTGCTTGCATTCGCACACTTGTGCTCTTTTGGACTATAATAATATCTATCGTTTTGGAAAAAAAAATATAACGTCAAATTTGGCAAAAAAAAAAAAATATATGAAGATTAGTTATAAGCGTCAACACCGTAACTATATATGAAGGCCATAAGTGTCAACACCGTAAATTCAATTTTCCACAGAATAAAAAAGACAAATACAGTATAATTTAAAATTCAAAAGATGGTTTTACTCATGACACTTACTTCAAAAAGTTGTTATTAGTACATACTAAAGATGAAGCATGATTAGATATAGAAAATAAACACCGATATTGGTCTTTTGCTTTTAATTAAAACAAGTGCGCATTCAACGGGTTTAATCAATACATACGATGTTCTTATCTTCGGTTCTCCCATAGCGCTTGGGCTATGTTTTCACGCAACACACAATGCTCACCACCGCCGACGTTGGAGTTATTACTCGACATAAAAGGGAAAGTCCGATCAGTTGGATCATGTCGTCGTACGTATTTTGGGTTGCTGAATTCAGGCGGCATGTTTTCGAGCGGTTCATGCATCCGAATTAAATTGTGTAGGACACAACATGCTATTACTATGTCGGTTTGGGAATGAACTTTGTAGTTTGGCATCAACCTCTTTATCATTGGAAACTTCCCCTTTAGCAAACCAAAGCTGTGTTCGATAACATTACGGACAGTGGCATGTCGTCTGTTAAACAACTCACGAGCATTTTCGGGCAATTGGTTAGACCCCAACCACTCCGGAAGATGGTATCTTTCACCACGATATGGTGTCATGAAACCCGAAAGTGCATATCCGGAGTCCTCCACGTAGAATTTACCTGCATGAACATACATTTTTTACTTAATGGAAGGAAGTTGTTATAAATAGATTTTAACTTATATTTACTTTAACTACAGTATAACATTTTAATAGTGTCATGGTCAATTTACCGGGCGGTGGATAGGGGAAATTATATCTGGGGTCCGACAACGTCTGATTGAAAATGCGTGCATCGTTTGCGCTGCCTTCCCATCTCGCTAGAAAAAAAAGTGCACTTGACGTCAAAATCGCACGCCAACATCACATTTTGCGCCAAATACCCTTTCCTACATCTGTAGGAACCTTGTTGTCCTTCTGGCACCCACGCAGGTATAATAGTCCCGTCAATTGCACCAATGCAGTCCTACGAATAACAGATAGAATTTCAACAATAGAGGTACTTTTGTTCAAATTAACGGTGTAGGACACATTAAAAAATGAAAAGGTCTTGAATTTACCTTGAAGTAAGGATATAAATTCCGATTATTTCTTATCCACGGTGCAACACGGTTAATGTTCCGGGGGACGAATGTAGTCGGGGGAAAGATAACAAAGAGCATTGATGAGTTTGTGACAATGACGACTGATTGTCGCTCCTGATTTTCTGAATGTTTCAGCCGCAAATCGTTGCCTTTGATGCCCTTTTATTGTATGCAGAAAAATGGCTACGCTTTCTTCAATGCCTATTTTTGTTTGTCTTCTTTTGGGGTGGAATCCAGCCCTTTTGATTTCGTCACAAAAGATGCTGAAATGACATTGATTTATGCCCATTGCATCTTTAAAACGACGAGAATTTCCAGCTAACAATTCATTTACCCAGTCCAAACCCGAGTACGTGGATTCTCGGTAGGGGATTCTTCTTAATGGGGGAAATGCAGACGAAAAACTCTCGTAAATGTTTACAAGTTGTTGAAATTGGGCCCCCATCATTAACGAAGCTTCCAACGGGTTGTAGTCTTCCAGGGTCTCGAATTTGCTGTCAATGTCCTCAGGCAAATCATCGATCTCCTCTTCATATGTGTCGCTATCATCTACGTAAGACATCCTACAAATAAATATAATAATAGCTAAAAACACATTTACAAATGTTCACAAACAAATTGTCACATAATCATGCAGTAAAAATCTCAAACAGAGTAGCTTGAAAACAAAGTTCAAACATAGTAGAGTTGAAGACAAATAAAGAACAGAGAAGTCCAACAAAAAATGAATACAATAGTTAGAAACCAATCCACATCCCCATTCACTATGGACCGGGGCCCTCATTAATCCACATATTAATAATATGTTGACGCCTCTCGTCACTAGTAATCACGGCAAACATGGCTCAATTAGTGGGATCCCGAAGCTTATTGCAAACAAACTGGAAAAGATCTTCGTCCATATTCGGCATTGCTTGAAGGTCGTGCATTGCCTGTTCCATCGTCGTTAGCTTCGCGGGTTTGTTGTTTCTTTCTTTCAGCGACACATTCAAGTCAGACCACGAGTACATGGCGGTGTTGAAACTGGACTCTGTGCTTCTCCTTCGACGAACGGACCGATTCTGCCCACCATGCCGTCAATGAGATGTCGGGGTCTCTATTGGATCGTCCTCTTGCTGCGTAAAAACATCGGGGCTGAAATTTCCAGATGGCTCACCACATCTCTCGGGCACACGTTGAGTCGATGCCCTTGCATTCGAGCCCGTAGCAGTCGTCCCATGAAAAATAATCGTCAACGCTTTGTAGTGCACGCATACCTTGCCTTCCATGTCATGATAACTCGGATTTGCCTGTGGACATCATAAAACAATGAGAAATGGAGTGTAAGACTACAAGAACACCAACATTAGTTGATAAAATTAGTCCCCAACACCCAAGCAGTACATGACATAAAATGACAATCATTACTACAAGAGACCATTTCTTTGTACAATCTGATATGAAATAATATTTATATATATATAT